TGATTGATGAAGAGACTCATATCAAGTATTATGTGGAAAAATGGTTTAAACTTTAAAGCAACCTCCATTCCTAGTTCCACTCTTGTTGTGCTTGTTGTTTCCTCTAATCAGTCTCGACAAACTCCAAGGGTTGCTTATGATGAGTGTGCATTCTACAAGAATAAAAATCTTTGGAAAGCTCAGTGTCAGTTATTACTCAATAAGGGTAAATATGGTCAGCCTCAGTTGGGACAACAAAATAGGTTTGGACAGCAGAAGTTTCAGCGACATTCACTTTGCCCTCCACAGTTCATTGTTGTTGTTGCTGGTCCACCAATTGACACAAAGTTAGGTGGGAGCATGTCACCTTTTGGGTTGGATCCCACGATTTTTAAGAGTTTCATACATTATTTGACTTACAATCCTACTACCATGTCTCAATCTATGTGTCATTCTGGTCCTACTTCATCTGATACCTCATGTATACCTTCATATTTTTGGATTTTAGATTCTAGTGCAACCCAAAATGTGACTACTTATTTGTATTGGTTTATGTCTGTCACACATGTTATATATCTTTGTTATGTCTGGTAATGATACATCAATGATAGCTGAGTGTGTTGGATCTGTTTCTAATTGTTATATGTATCTTCCTGATGTTTATTACATTTATAAACACACTTTGAATCTTGCTACGATCAACCAATTGTGTAAGTCTGGTAATTGGGGTTCTCAACTGATTCCATCCGTGTTGTATAGGAAATACACACTTAGAAGGTGATTGGGATCGGCTGTAGGGCAGGATAACTTTTTGTCTTGGAGGTTCTCAAAGTATCTGTTGTTGCTGGCTTTAGCAGTAATTTGTCTTTTTTTTTTGTTTGAGTGCTTTGTTGTCTCAGTTTTATCTTTGGTACTCTCGTTTAGGACATGTGTCTCTATCACGTTTGAGTTTTCTAGTCTATAGTGGTGTTTTGGGTTATTTGAACACTTGTAATATTTCTGATTGTAGTGGTTGCAAAATGGCAAAATTCTATGTTTTACCTATTAGTAAAAGTATCTGTTTTTCTATTTCTCCTTTTGATATTATTCATTCTGATGTGTGGGGCCCTGCACCAGTATCCAAAAATGGTGTCTCGACATAATATGTATCTTTTATAGATGGTAAAACTCGATATACCTGGGTTTATCTTATGAAACGTGGATTTGATTTTCTTGTCATTTACAACAGTTTTAGAGCTCTTGTTAAAACTTAACATTCTATTATGACAAAGTGTTACAGGTGTGACTTAAGGGTGAATATACCTATAATGATTTTACTTAATTTCTTGCTTCTGATGGTACCATACACTAGTCATCATGCACTGATACTCCTCACAAAACAGTGTGGGAGAACAAAAACACTGTTATATTATTGAAACAACTCGCTCATTGTTCTTGTTTGTACAAGTTCCTAGTGCCTTTTAGGGAGAATCAATCTTAACTATTGTTTATGTAATTAATCATATCCCTGCTGCATTGAATTCAGGAATGTCTGTTATTGAGAAGCTATATGGTCACCTAGTAGACTACTCTGCTCTACGAGTCTTTGAATGTAGTTGTTTTGTTCTTCGTACTCATGTTAAGAGGAACAAGTTGGGGCTGAAATCTGATATTTGTAATGTACTTAGGTATGGTGTTGGATAGAAACAATATCGTTGCTATGATCCTGTAAGTCAGAAGCTATATGTTTCATGGTATGTCTCTTTTTTTGGAACACATTCCTTTCCACTCGATTCCTGCTACAACCCACACAGTAAAGAAATCAGATATTCTTCATATTGATCCTTTTGATGAGAATATAGAGGGTCGAGACTCAGCTATGCCACCTGATCCTCCAGTTCATGACACGCCCGCATCTTCAAATATTTCCTCAACTCCTCCTATTTCTGAGTCCGCCCTTGCGACTGTTAAGATATATGACCAGCCTCCACTACCCCTAAGGAGATCTACTCCTCCTATCAAGTCCACAAATCTTCCTGATTTTGATTACTCTACATACTCATGACCATTTGCTTCATTTATAGCGAACATCCATTGTCTGAACCAAAGTCGTATAGAGAAGTTGTATTAGATCCTTTTTGGTAGAATGTTATGGCTGAGGAACTCACTGCTCTGCATCAGACTCATACATGGGATTCAATTTCCCTTCATAGTGGGAAACATATGATTGGTTGTCGTTGGGTGTACAACATTAAAAAAAAGTTGATGGGTGTATAGAGCGGTACAAGGCCAAACTTGTAGCAAAAGGTTCCCAATAGTACGGTTTTGACTATGATGAGACCTTTGCCCTAGTGGCATAGATGAGGACAGTTCGTACTATGATTACAGTTGCATCCGCTTGATAGTGGAAGATCTTTCAAATGGATGTCAAGAATGATTTTTTGAATGGTAACCTCCATGAAGAGGTTTATATGTCTCCTCCCCTAGGGATTCAACACCATTCAGGTGAGGTTTGTCAGCAAGCACATTGTGCTTGGTTTGAGAAATTCTCCACAATGATTACCTCTCTTGGATTTGTCCAGAGTAATCATGATTCGAATTTGTTCATTAGATGTTCGAGTACAGGATGATTTCTTTTATCCCTATATGTGGATCACATGATTAGTATTGTTGATGACCATGGTGGTATTGAGTCTTTAAATCATGATCTAGCTCATCGATTTGCTGTGAAGGATTTGCTCTTGTTGTATTATTTATTAGGTATTGAGGTAGCTCAGTCTAAGAAAGAGTATCTTCTTTCTCAGACTAAATATATATCTGACTTGTTTACAGGGGTGGGGCTCTCTGACAATCGAACTTGTTGATACGCCTCTTGAAACCAATGCACGGTACTCTCCTGCTGACAGTGTTCCTTTTTTCCGATCCAAAACTTTATCACACCGTTGTGGGAAGTTTGGTTTATCTCACTGTTACCCTTCCAGATATTGCTCATGTTGTTCATGTTGTTAGTCAATTTGTTACGACTCCTAACTCTGTTCATTAGGGAGCTATACTCCGTATTCTGAGATATCTTCGCAGCACTCAGTTTCAAACCCTTTTGTTTCCCTCGACGCCTTCTAGTGAGTTACGTGCCTATAGTGATGCTGATTGGGATGACGATTGTCATGATCATAAATACACCACCAGATTTTGCGTATTTCTTGGGAGTCTCTCATTTTAAGGAAAAACAAAAAACATAACGTTTTCTCTAGATCTTCCATGCAGACTGAGTATCGTGCTATGGCTATGACTACATGTGAAACTATTTGGTCACAGTGGCTTCTTACAGATATGGAAGTTCACATTTCTTCACCTACTCCCTTGCATTGTGACAGCAGAAGTGTGATATAAATTGCGAAGAATCCTGTTTTCCATGAGCGGGCGAAACACATTGAGATTGATTGACACTTCACTCGTCATCACTTACAACTCGGAACCATATCACTTCTATTTGTTTCATCAACCTTGCAGCTTGCAAATATTTTTACCAAGGCTCTATCGACATCTTGTCTTCGTTTCTTGTGTGATAAATCTCAATGCTTATTGTTGTGGCATTGTGAGTTTAAGGAGAATGTTAGCCTATATGTTGTTAGGTTATATGCTTATGGGCCCTTTAGGCTTTAGCTCATAGGATTTTGCCCTAGCTAATATTTATTCTCCCATTTCTTTTGTGTAGCATTTATGCTTTTTATCGAGAACCTTATAATTTCTCTCTTTCAATAAGAATTGTTACGATGAAAACAAAACTAAAAAAATTAAAAAGGGACATATGGAAATTTATAAAAGCTTAGGGGTTAATTATGTAACTTCTAGAAACTAATAAAGAAAACGTGTAAAGGGGTTGATTGTGAAATATGTGCATAAAGTAACGACTAAAACCATAAGATGAATGAAAAACATAAATTTGAGCTAGTCAACTTATATATTCAATTGAGATACGTACTCAACTTATATATATGTAAAATTTTGAATAAACTTATATATATATATATATATTGATTTATTAACAATATAAATTGATTAAGGGCGTGTTTGGCATGTATCATTTGGGAGAGTTTGAAAGCTTTTAGCTTCCAGCGTTTGACAAAACGCTCCATTTTGAACAGAAAGCCTCGTTCGACACTACAAGCTTCTAGCATTTAGTTTAAACAAAACTCTCCAAATCCAAGTGTTGTTTCATGTAGCGTTTTAACAAAACGCTACAAGTTACAAGCTACCCGCTACCCGCTACAAGCTAATTTTTCCGAACACACCCTAAAACTTTAGCCTATTTTTTTCGAGGCTTAGTGGGGTCGCACCTACTGCACCCCTTAATTAGGGCTGGCTGTTTGGATTATCTTATCTAAAAATATACCACGGTTGTATACAGTCCATCGTATATTATCTTTGATGCATCATGACTTTCATTTTTCTATAATAAAAGACATGGCACTAGCAGTCAAATGTACAGCACAAGTATATGCATGTAATGGTCCACAAAGGTCAAGGATCAAGAGGGGTCTTTCCCTATCTTTCTCTTCAGCCTTAACAACTCTTTCTGTTTGTTGATGCATGTATAATGTCGCTTCTTATTCTATCCTATATATCAAAACAATTATAAATCTCCAATATGCATGTCCATAGTTTATATGGCAGGTAACATGTGTGCTTCATTCTATAATCTAATTCAACTCTTCTTTTTCAAGGGGTAATTTGCATTAGATCCACAGTTTGAGATGGGAAATCATTGAGTGTCACTCTATTAATCCATTTGCTTTAATTGTGCATGATGATTACCCAGCTTCGTACAAAGTTAAACCGGATAATTAAAGAGTCAAAGATATTGATTTAACATGAAGCGTTCTAGTTGCAACTAAGATCCAAATTGGACATCAAATAATGTTTTGTATTATGAAGGGAGAAAAAGAAAAGGTAAACATACCTTATGTTGACGGGCCCTTTGGATTGTGATACGTGTTGCCATATGAACCCCCCACAATGTTAGCCCCCCCCTACTGCCCTCTCACTTTCGTGTATATTTTCCTCTTCTATCCTCATTGACTATAATCTTTACGTTCACCCTCATATGCATAAAACTAGTTGCGTTTGCTATTTATCAACTCCATCCACTTGAGAAACAAGGAAATGAAGGTATATATTTTGATGGTTAGATACCATGGATTTTTCAAAAAAAAAAAAAAAAAAACGTCATGAATATCTTATATATCTCAGTCACCTTTTAAATAACATGATTTTGTGAATATTTTACACAGATCTTCAACTGGGTTCGTCGGTTTAATCACAAAGGTGACATTCCTGCTTCAATTATGCGTTTTTTCCTATAATTTATTTCGAAATGTTGTTCATAATTATATTTTGGTAGATGAAGCTGGCCAAGGTGCCACAAATGAGGTTACTCAAAATGGGAAGGACGGCAAGCTGGTGCTGCTTGAACATGTAGCCTTTGATAGTGTGTTTGATGGTTGGAAAGAAGGCATACTTGCTATTGGAACATTAGGATTTGATCCTGCATTACTGAAAGGTTCAGAGCCCAAAGAAGACACGTATTTGTGTGAAATCAGTCGTAAAGAGTTATTTGTTGCTGACAATGGTGATGAGGACGACAACGGAGAGCAGGAACTAGAAATGGAATTTCCATTGGTGTTAAAAGCTTGTAAGCATGGGTTCTTTCATGATCAGAAAGATGATCAGCTACAATGTGATGAAGTTTCTAAAACTGATGATCGTAAAGATGTGGAGGATCCGGAAAGTGTAGATGTTGATGAGGTGAAAAGGGCAAGGAAGACTGGACAAAGAACCACTCTAGCCGATCTATTTTTGGCTGATTCAGAAACGAACTTGTTGAAAAACAAGAGGTTGGCTAATCAAGATCATGTCAAAGGTCACTTCCATACTATTGAATCCAACAAAAAGCATGCTTCAAATGACGATAGGGTGGCCTTAATCTCTAATACGAAGCTCACTACTAAAGACAATACAACTCACACCATCAAGAAAATAAACAGAGTGAGCCTCTATCTCTATCCTGGTGTATCTATCTATCTACCTACCCATCTATCTATCTATCTAATTTATCCCAATGTTGTAAAAGATGATGAAAAAGATTTTAAAGAAGAAGATACATCCAGACGTTGAGAATCAAAATGTGGTTGCATGTGTGAAGCCTATGCGCCTACCTGGATCATAAAGACAGCATAGTAGGTATGTATTGATGTATTCATATCTCTCGGTCTTTTATCAAATCTTAATCTCTTCTAGTAGAAAAATACATAACTAATTTTCTAAAAGATAAGAACTCAAACATTAATGCTGAGAGAGTGACCATTTTTTTTGGTTCTTGGCTCCATCAAACTTGCATTCACAATATGCCACATCCAGAGAATCGGCAATGAAATATCTAAAATAAGTTTAAATCTACTAGTGGTTAGCTGTGTTTACAAGAAAATGTCATAGAGTATATTGTGTTTTGCTTTTGTTTGCAGTGGACATGGATGAAAGCGCTTGCCATTATGTGTTGCAGAAAGTTACTGATTTGGTTGCTTGGTTAATTTATGATTGGTTTTCCTGTTAAGATTGTGTTCTATGTTGCTTTCATGTTCTTGCTCATCTGTTTCTTTGTCATTAATTTCTTTAAATCCATGGAGTGAACAGTTGTATGTCATGGACTTATTAATTTTCCTGTTTACTTCTTTGATGCATCTCCATGCTTCCTACAATTATAGAATTAACCAATGGTCATGGTCACACCTTAACTTTCACCTACTAAATTTTTATTACTATACTTTGTAAGAAGGTTTGGCTAGCTAGCCCCACAATTGAAACCTAGTGGTAAGTTTAAAATTCCACATAAAAGGTCCAGAGTTCAGACTATCACATACACAAATATTGATATTGTTTTAGGATTAACCTCCCATGTAAGCCTTATATCAGGTTAATGGCCCCTCAAATGATTTGGTTTATCGTTTTTTTTTTAAACACTTCGTAGCCTTCTAGTTTTTATGATTAAAATTGTTAAAATAAAACAGACTTATACGAAAACCTTAAAACCATTGTTCATGAGATCTATTGTCCACAAAAAAAATATGTCATTTAAAGGTTAAAATCATTTACTGTTAACAAGCCATGTTCTTCGTCCAATATCCCAAATCACTATTGATATTCATTCACTCCAAGAAACAAAACTCCTGGGTAATTTTTTCCCCATGGATTACCCTCGAAATTACCCATCGATTTACCATGGTTTTTTTTTATCCACATATTATCCATGACCACGTTATCCACATCTTATTCACAACTAGATGGATTACCCACAAAATATCCCTAGACTTGTTCCCCACGATTTTTTCAGGATTCTGTTACCTATGGTTTATACATAGATTAGGTATAAGATCCATGTATTACTAGAGTTAATTAAAAAAATTAAATATAAATGTTTAAATATGTAAGAATTTTGGATTTATAAGAAAATAAGAAATAATGAATTGTTAAAATTGATTTTTTTTATCTTTTAAATTTAAATAAATAAACAAAATAAACTAAGCAGCTTTAATTTGAAATTTTTAATATAAGAAGGTCACTCCATTAATAAAATTGATATGTATTTATCACTACATTTATTGTAATTATTAAATTAAATGATAATGTGGAATTTAAAAAAATAAAAAAAAAACTCATAAAATGACATGTGTAAAAAAAATTAATTCAAAATAACTATAAAATTACATTTGATAAATTAAATGAGAGTTTGACAAACGACATAAAAAACCTTCATTTATTAGAAATGATTTTTACCCATGGATTATCCACCTAGATTTTTTTTGGAATGATTATGTGGGTAAGGTAACATATTTAAAAGTTTATACTTTTACAATTTACAGAAAATTCATATTTTTTATAACTAATTAAAAAATGTAATATGAACAAAACAAATTTAAGTATAATCCATAAAATTAATCTAGAAAGGTTCGAATACCAAATCTATAAAATTTTCAAATATCTATAAACTTAATATATAAGTTTCAAAATCCAAATCTACAAAAGTTTCAAATAACAAATTCATAAACCTAATCTAGAAAGTTTCATATACAAGATAATTACAAACATAAAACAAATTGTTTGTATCGCCACTTTGCATGAATTTACTCCAAAGTTCTTCCATATGTTATTGCATACTTACTTAAGTTGCTCAGGGCCTTAGTGGAGTCCGGAGGTTTCCAGGACCCTTCTTCAGTTCCAGCATTTAATGTAAAAAAACAAAATTTTTATGTTTTTTTCTTTTTTTTTATGTTTTTTCTATTAGGGAGGAGGGAATCCTTCCCTCCCAACCCACTTAACCCAGTGTCACATCATTTTTTTTTTTTTTTTTATCTTTCTCAACTCACAACATATGGAAACCCTATCTTTCTCAACCCATTCAACCCACTTGCTATATCATTCTTTTTTTTATTTAATTTAACTAGAAAATATAAATTAAAATAAAACATAATATTTTTCATTTAAATGAATTATAAAGTATTCATTTTAATATAGTTATACAAAATTATATTAAAAAGTAGAAGTAAAAAAAAATGAAGGCACGTGCATGATGTGGAATTGCATATTGAATAGGGAATACTAGCGGGTTCCTAAAACCGTTCAATCAAATAAGTGTTAAAAGCCGTTGAAACCATTTCTACTCGGAACCAAATGCCGGTGGTACCGCCGGTACCTAAGCTTCAAAACCTCACGATGCATTCCTCCCTTAGGTGCACCGGTTTAAAATATGAGGTTCACTACTAATTCAGATTTTTTCGGATTTTTTTTAATGCCACCACTATTAAAACGTTTGCCGTCTGCCACTGAATTCCTTATGTAATTTTTTCTGACGGCCGGCTACAGAAATGATAGAACAAACAATACCATTAGTAAATAATATAAAAATAAAAACAAAAATGTATTCGTTACACCGAATAAATGTTAAATCAAAAAATAATATTAGTCAAATAAAAATAAAATAAAATAAAAACTCGAAAAAAATCATCCATAAATGTTTTAATATATATATATATATATATATATATATATATATATATATATATATATATATATATATATATATATATATATATATATATATATATATATATATATATGAAGCGGTTCAAATAAAAATATAAAATATAAAAAACATTAAGAACCATTTTTCATTAAAGATCTTTTGTTATTCTAAGTAAATATAACATCTCATTAATCTTAGACTTTAAGAACCATTTTTAAAGATCTTTTGTTATTCTAACTGAATATAACATCTCATTAATCTTAGACTTTAGGAACCATTTTTTTAAAAATACTACTTTTTCATTCTAACATTTTAGAAATAGCAACTCATTAATTTGAAACTTTCGTTAAAAAAATCGTAGAAACTTTAGGAAACACCTTTTATTAAGGGTGATTTTGTCATTCTAATTTTTAGAAATAACTACTGATTAACTTAGACTTTCATTATAAAATGTATCTTATACGATTATTAAAATTTTATTATTTTTTTTTATTAAAAATTAACAAAAATGTCATTATCATGCTTCAACTAAGAAAATTCACAATTCAAATATCATATTCACAATTTAAGAAACATAATAATTCAATCATTCAAAATTTTATAAACACATTATACACCAATTTACAACTTAACAAAAATAACACCCACATTCTACCGCCACCACCAATCACATGTACTACCAGTGTCATTATTTCATCCTACCACCATCAAATCCACTACGACCACTACCCACTACGACCACTACGAATGTTGTGTGCTACTTCCACCACCAAGCATCATTGTCACTATTCCTTCCTCTTACCATCATAAGATATGAATCTCTTTTTATCCATTGCATCTTAGTTCACAAATAATTTTATAAAAAAATCACAAGTTAAAATAACATTGTCAGGTTAAAATTACAAATAATATCCAAAGAGGTTAAAATTACAAATAATATTCAAAGATTAAAACATGTATTCACAGTTTAATACAACGATCCACCATTTATAGGTAAATACAAAGCATATAATACCTTCTTTTTTTAATTTAATTTACTAGCAACTTGTGAGTTGTATCAAAATAGAATTTCATGATGACAATGTTAGATGTTTTATCTAAATTATCTTTTGTTGTCTATTTTATCTAAGTTCCTAATTAATTTTTTTATAACTACAAGTTAAAATAATATTCACAACCTAAAATCACAGCTTAAAACAATATTGATAATTTAAAACATATATTCACATTTAATACAACAACTCATACATCATTCACAATTTAATACAAGACATATAAACCATTATTTTTTCAATTATTTTAACGAACACTTTATGAGTTGTATTGCAATCGGATTTCAAGATGACATTTCCATGTGCTTTATCTAAAACTATCATTTAGACTCTTACCGCCTATTCTATATAAGTTCACAATTAATTTTACAAAAAAAAAAAAATACAAGTTAAAATAATATTTACATTTTAAAATCACGACTTAAAACATTATTCACAGTTTAAGCACATATTCACAATTTAAATCACATATTTTAATACATGGATCCATTCTTTTCTACACCATTCACAATATACAAAGCATATAAAACATTTTTTTTTCAATTATTTTATCGAACACTTTATAAGTTGTATCAAACTTAAATTTCAAGATGACATTTCAATTTCAATGTGTTTTATTTAAAATTATATCTTAAATTCTTATTGCCCAATATATATATATATATATATATATATATATATATATATATATATATATATATATATATATATATATATATATATATATGTAAAGCCCGAAAACGGATCTACCAATGATCAAAGACAAATAACATAAGCAAAAGATGAAACAATAAGCAAATAACAAACGAACCAAGCTTGCATACGCCTTAAAGCAATAAAACATCAGATACAACTTGGAGAAAACACGAAGGCATCAACAACCTTTAAAGTCTGACACAATGCCCTATTTATGGACCTGACTTACAACCGTGTGGAGTTTACGGCCGTAAACAGATAACAACCGTAAACTACATATAAAATTGGTTTCCCTACACAATCACTACCACTAACTGTTATGCCTAGACCAAACCATTATTCAGGATCTTTCAATCTCCCCCTTGGTTTGGACTAGCTTGAACCCATCCCTTTGTTGACAATCATCACGTCCATCTGGCCCATCGCTCCATTCCACATTCTCTTGCTTAGAATCTCCGCGACCATTGTTGTGTACACCTTGGCTCCTTTCTCATAAATATCTTCAACAAATTTAATTTGAAAGTTGCTAAGATAATGAATATCCCATTTCCTGAATTGTAACAAGTCTCTACGATCGTACAAACGGATACACCCATTCTTAAGTTTGATGACCGCTCCAAATGTATTTTCATCATAAACCCAGCATTCCAAAGAACTCAGAGATCCATCCTAATAGCCCTGAGGAATTGGAAATTGTTTGACTTGCTTCGTAGGAGGCCACATAACCACTTGTAATGGCTTGTCGGTAGATTCTTCAAAGACATCTGGAGGTTCCAAGATAAATGACTCTGCCATCGGCATCGATGGAAAACCTTTCTTAACTTGATCATCCAGAAAGTGCTTAAACTGTGTAACCTGAGGATTATTCAAGAGATTGATAAACGGAGCTTGTGACAACTCCGTTAGATCAATTCTTGGTAAAGACTGAAAAGCATGGATATCCTTGTACAATTCTGAATTACCCCTCTTACGAATGAT